GAGATCCCACTAGCAGGTTGGCTGGGCCGCCTGTCGAACAGCCCGGGAATCGCATGTAGGCCGATAGCATAATTATTATAACGTGTATACAGTCATGTAGATGTATAGCAGGGAGTCATATTATGTAAACGACTCCCTGCTGTATGGGGAGATTTTCTGGAAAGAAATACGAAGTAGGGAGACGAGTAAATGCAATTAGAATGGATGTTAGTTGCCGTCAGTATAATAAGAAGAAGAAGACGAACGACCGTGATCGGCAGAGTCAGCGCCGGTCCCATAGCTATGCAGAAGACGTTACTTCAGTAACTCATTGAAACGTTTTTGCAATACAATGATGTAGCTAATCAAAGGAAAAAAACTTTTCCATCAGTTCTAACAACATGCACGATGAGCTAGGCAACAAAGCATAGCGCAGGGCCCTGAGCTTCCAAGCTCTCTCGTTTGGTATTTGTTTGTTTGTGTGTTTGTTTGTTTGTTTGTTTGTGTCACGCCTGGCGCTATCCGTATCTGACGGCAAAAAAGCATAGGATGTTATAAATTTTTCAATTCTCCTTTTTTTTCAGGCATATCCTGGGATTCGAACCCGCACTATCGCCCTACATGCATTCCCCCATACACTTCGCATTCATACCCATTCTTCCAAGTTGCTTCACGTTAATCTTGCGTTTGAAAGCCCTATTTGAATATTGCGGGCAGCTAGACGGTGTCGTATTACCCTCGATCGTACCTGTCCCGTACCTATTCCCTACCGTACCTTGCCATCAAAGATGGCTGAAAGATGGCTGGCCACAATGCATATTCAAATAGGGCTTTCAAATGCAAGATCACAATGTGAAACAACTTGGAAGAATTAGTATGTATGCGAAGTGTATCGGGGGCTGCATGCAGGGCGCGCGATAGTGCGGGTTCGAATCCCAGGTTTTAAAAAAAGGATTTTTTTAAAGAAAACATCCCTATGCTTTTTTTTGTCTAGGTCATCAAGGCAAAAAAGCATAGCGCAGGGCCCTGAGCTTCCAAGCTCTCTCGTTCGGTATTTGTGTGGTTGTGTGTTTGTTTGTTTGTTTGTGTCACGCCTGGCGCTATCCGTATCTGACGGCAAAAAAGCATAGGATGTTATAAATTTTTCGTTTTCCTATTTTTTTCAGGCAAATCCTAGGATTCGAACCCGCACTATCGCCCTACATGCATTCCCCCATACACTTCGCATTCATACCCATTCTTCCAAGTTGCTTCACGTTATTATCTTGCGTTTGAAAGCCCTATTTAAATATTGCGGGCAGCTGTATGTGGCCAGCTGTGTTTGATGGTACGGTACGGTACGGGAGACGGTGTCGTATTGCCCTCGATCGTACCTGTCCCGTACCTATCCACTACCGTACCGTGCCATCAAAGACGGCTGGCCACAATGCATATTCAAATAGGGCTTTCAAATGCAAGATCACAATGTGAAACAACTTGGAAGAATTAGTATATATGCGAAGTGTATCGGGGGATGCATGCAGGGCGCGCAATAGTGCGGGTTCGAATCCCAGGTTATGTCTTTAAAAAAATGATTTTTTTAAAGAATTTATAACATCCCTAAGCTTTTTTTGTCTAGGTCATCAAGGCAAAAAAGCATAGCGTAGGGCCCTGAGCTTCCAAGCTCTCTCGTTCCCGTAGCTATGCAGAAGACGTTACTTCAGTAACGTCTGGCGCTAGCCAGGGTCCACACAGCTTTAATTCCCGTAGCTAAGCAGAAGACGTTACTTCAGTAACGTCTGGCGCTAGCCAGGGTCCACACAGCTTTTATTCCCGTAGCTATGCAGAAGACGTTACTTCAGTAACGCCTGGCGCTAGCCAGGGTCCACACAGCTTTAATTAATTTTGGTATTTGTGTGTGTGTGTGTTTGTTTGTTTCTTTGTGTCACGCCTTGCGCTATCCCGTATCTGACGGCAAAAAAATCATGGGGATGTTATAAAATTTTCAATTCTCCTATTTTTTCAGGCATATCCTGGGATTCGAACCCGCACTATCGCCCTACATGCATTCCCCCATACACTTCGCATTCATACCCATTCTTCCAAGTTGCTTCACGTTATGATCTTGCGTTTGAAAGCCCTATTTGAATATTGCGGCGGATTTTTTTAAAGAATTTATAACATCCCTATGCTTTTTTTGTCTAGGTCATCAAGGCAAAAAAGCATAGCGTAGGGCCCTGAGCTTCCAAGCTCTCTCGTTTGGTGTTTGTTTGTGTCACGCCTGGCGCTATCCCGTATCTGTCCCGTACCGTACCGTGCCATCAAACACAGCTGGCCACATACAGCTCGCCGCAATATTCAAATAGGGCTTTCAAACGTAAGATCATAACGTGAAGCAACTTGGAAGAATGAGTATGAATGCGAACTTTTGCGAAGTGTATGGGGGAATGAATGTAGGTCGAATCCCTGAAAAAATAGGAGACTTGAAAAATGTATAACATCCCTATTCTTTTTTTGCCGTCATCAAGGTAGTAGACGGTGTCGTATTACAGTCGACCGTACCTGTCCCGTACCTGCCCCGTACCTGTCCCGTTTTGCCGTCATCAAGGCAGTAGACGGTGTCGTATTACCCTCGACCGTACCTGTCCCGTACCTGCCCCGTACCTGCCCCGTACCTGCCCCGTACCTGTCCCGTACCTGTCCCGTACCGTACGGGACATTCAAAGACGGCTGGCGACAATGCATATTCAAATAGGGCTTTCAAATACAAGGTCATAACGTGAAGCAACTTGGAAGAATTAGTATGTATGTGAAGTGTATCGGGGGATGCATCTAGGGCGATAGTGCGGGTTCGAATCCCAGGTTATGTCTAAAACTAAAAGTAGAAATTTATAAGACTTTATAACATCCATAATTATGCTTTTTTTTGTCTAGGACATCAAGGGAAAAAAGCGTAGCGGAGGGCCCTGAGCTTCCAAGCTCTCTCGTTTTTCTTGATATTCATATCACCTGATGAGTGCCTGAGATGGCATGGAACTTTAAGTTGTGACTGATCAGGCCATCTGTTGTTCTGACTAGTGTGTCACGGCTCTACCTTCCCTGTATCGAGCTCTCTTGGATTTCTGCTGCAATTCACAACAGTGTGTATAAACAATGTATATACATCAGTGTAAATGTTTAGAAGAAATAATGGGGGGATGAATGGTGAACATAAAGAGAAAAGAAGAAAAACGTATGCTGAACCTGGGCAATATATAGCTGGTGAGAGACTAAACGTTGCCAACGTTGTCAAACAAAATTGCACGATATCATTCAAACCAAACTGGATCATCCAATAAGCGCTTAAAACCACGATCGAACTGAGAGGTAAACAAAGAGGATTTCAAGTCATTAGGTAGAGCATTAAAAAAACAGAGCAGCACGAAGCACAAAGGATTTTTGACCGAGGGTTGTTCGGCATTTTAAATAAAAGGGATATCATGTGTGTCGCGACTACGCGTGCTCCGGGTAGATTGCGGGGCTGGGAATAACGATGCAAATATAGGGAAAGGGCGAAGAATATGATTAATGAAAATGAACTTCCCAGTTGACACCAGAAAATAGTAGTCCAGGGGTTTTCAGAAGACCAGAAATACTGTCCCGGCTCGAAGCCCCACAAGCCGCTCGGATAGCTCTATTGTACACGCTTACAAGGCGATTGTGATCCTTAACAGTAATGAGTGTGACGAAGGAGCAGATGCAGTACATAATGTCAGGAAAAACGACAGACAGGATGTATTGGCGGCGTGCAAGTTCGCTCAGTTGCCGGAAGGTGCGACGTATAAGACACCCACCTTCTGGGATACTTTTCTAAAAAAAGTAAAATGCATAAGTAAAAAGTAAATTATCGTGTCCGTTCCCGAAGGGAACTCACGACGGCCGCTAACACCCGGTAAACCCGGTAAACCCTAGGAGACGAGTTTCGGTCACAAAATTAAGTGGCTCACCTTGAAGACTAATGACACTTGGGTGCGTCGTGGGGTTTCGGCCGGGGGAAATGATCATTAGCCCGTGCTTCACACAGCCGGACATGTCCATGCGCGTGCATGCGGACCCACACGCATGAACGAGCACACACAGAATAGTCTGGTTGAGTTAAATTGGATAGGTGGAGTGCTGGATTCGAACAACTGGTGCAATGTCACGTGACTCGGCAAATGAGTCGCAACGCGAAAAGACTCTGCTGAGTCGCGAACAGGCAATGACTCTGCAACTGAGTCGCAAGCAAGCAAACAGGGCAAACCAGTTGTGAGCGAACATCCGCACTCCCCAATGTTTTATTTTACTTGTATGTTTTTTTTCGTTTTTTTTTTAAAGAATTGAATATGGCAAGTTACAGCGGATGCAAGTGCAGACCACATAGGCTGCAGAGAATATAGCAACATGTTAACATAGAGCAACAGCTATAGGGTGGGTGTTGGTGGGGAAGAAAAAGCAAGGAGCAAAACTGTGAAAGCCAGGCAACAGCAGCGGACTCTACTTTCACAAAGGCAACACTCAAAGCAAGGCACGTGGGAAAAGTTTGGAGTGGAAGAAATACGAGGTGTGAGCTGCAACCTCTCTTGGCGCAGTTTCGGAGCTGCGCTGTAGATTACTGATTAGCTACGTGAATCTGCGTGATTGATTAGTGTAATCAAGCTGCCAGCTGGCAGGTGTTCATGCGGCGCTAAGACGCTCTAGCCACTGGCTAGTGCGCCATTAGCCCGTGCTTCACACAGCCGGACATGTCCATGCGCGTGCATGCGGACCCACACGCATGAACGAGCACACACAGAATAGTCTGGTTGAGTTAAATTGGATAGGTGGAGTGCTGGATTCGAACAACTGGTGCAATGTCACGTGACTCGGCAAATGAGTCGCAACGCGAAAAGACTCTGCTGAGTCGCGAACAGGCAATGACTCTGCAACTGAGTCGCAAGCAAGCAAACAGGGCAAACCAGTTGTGAGCGAACATCCGCGAATCCAGCACACCACGTAAATATTCGGAATTGATAGGCCAAAATTCAGACCAAATGGCTAACCTTTGCAAGCTGTGACGACACACTGTACTTAAGGGATGCTGGCATACGCATGTACCGCAAACATACATCACTCTTCCAGCGTCCAGCAGCGCGGATCAGAGAGTCGGGCACACCGGCCATTGCGGCTGTCGTAGCAGCACCAATGCGGAACGAGTGCCCGGAATACAGGTGCAGGTTTGGCACGCCAGATGCTGCCAGCAATGAACGTACAGTGGTGGTAAATGCCGCACGAGTAAGCTTCTGTCCATCTGAGAGCACAAACAGTGGCCCAGTGGATGGATGATGGCGGGTAGTGAGCAGGTATGCTGTCATCGCTGCTACGGGGCAGTACGGTTGCGTGGCTCGGCCAACGAACACTGTGACCCCACTGCCCAGTGGATCTGTTTTTGACTTTGGCAGGAACAGCTGCATGTTGCCATCTGCGAGTCGAGCATCAGCACTCCGAGTCTCCCCTGTAAACTCGGAACAGCGAAGGAAGCCGTAAAATGCAAGCAGCATATCCCAAGTCTGCAGGCAACGGAGACTGCTGTGGTTCGGCCATGTAGTGAGGGAAGGCGAAGAATCGTCCTCTTTCCAAGCCCTCCTAATGTCGATCAACACAACAGACATACGACGACCCCGAGGACGGCCACGTCTGAGATGGATCGACGTTGTCAAGAAAGACTTACAATGCATTAATCTGTCGCTTCTGGATGCTGTGCAATCTGCTTCTGATAGAGCTGCTTGGCTCGAAATTGTTAACAGATGCGTTGACCTCATGCAATGAGTGAAATGCGAACTGTCATTATTATTATTATACATGCTTGGTACAGCAGACGGTCATGTCGGTTGAGTAGTTCCGTCAACTGGCACGCATCCACTATTTTGCGGAGCACAGGCATGGTAATAGGAAGGCGAGGTGTGATAACAGCTGTGCCATGGCACCGTCCAATGCCCTTTACTACTCGTTTCAGCAGCCAGGCATCTTCCAGCGGATCACCCAAGCCTTGTTCAATTTGGGCGTTGCGCACCGCACTGAGGTACACAGAGATAGTACATGGTCTTACTGAGCGAGCGAGGAATGCGGCAAAGCAACTTAGCTGATAGTCAGTAGCTGGGAAGGGTTTCCAGAGGCACAACTGGCAGTAAGCACTATATCTGCTCTCACCGGTCGAATAGGTGCGCCGTGTGTTCGGGGCAATGGCGCATGCAGCGTAGTAGCTTACTTCCCCATGTACTGGGGCCATATCACGTTGTCCGGCAGGTTCTTGGCGCTGGGAGCGAGCCGCCGAAATGCCTGCATAGAGAAGCGTGACAGAGAATCAGCAATCAGGTTCTTGTTCCCTGCAATATGGATGGCCGAAATGGTAAAGTTATGTTTGGCGCAGACAAAGAAAAGTCCGCGGAGTAGTTGCATCACTGGGGCTGATTTGCTACTGCCCGACTTTACACAGTCCACGACTGCAGCATTGTCGCAGTGAATAAGGATACGGAGCTTTGCCCAAGCATGGCCCCAAGTGGCGCAAGCGACTAGCAGGGCATACAGCTCCTTCCAAGTGATGTCTCTCTCCACTTCTTCTCGGGTCCAAGCGCCGTTGATCCACCGGCCGTTGTTGTAGGCTCCCCAGCCACGTGAACCGCTTGCGTCTGTATAGAGTTGTAGATCTGGCGATGGAGTCCAGTTGGGGTGCAAGAAGAACGATTTACCGTTCCAGTGTTGCAGCAGGTGCTGCCACCACCTGATATCTTCCATAGCATCAGAGTCCAGTACTATCTTGTAGTGGGGCTCTTGATACCTGCTGCACACCGACCAGAGCCGTCGAAGAAATGTGCGCCCTGGGGTGACCACCCGTGCTGCAAAGGAGAGCTTCCCCAAAAGGGACTCGAGGCTGCGCTGAGAAATAGAGTTACGCTGGAGGGTGGCAGTAAGCAGAGATCTGAGCTCAGTCAGTTTGTCGGATGGGAGCCTGGCTTGCTTGGAAACGCAGTCCAGCTCTATTCCAAGAAATGTAAGACACTGAGCAGGGCCTTCTATCTTGTCTGGGGCCAGGGGTACGCCTAAGAGCATGAATGCGCGGAGCAAGATAGCCAGCTGGCGGTTAGCAACAGAAAGGCTAGAAACGGCGTTTCGAAAGTCATCTAAGTAATGCAAAAGATCACTTATGGAGAAATGATGCTTTATGATCCATTCAATAGCATCAGCAACGGTGTTGAAAATGAAGGGACTAGAGCGCAAACCAAAAGGGAGCACTTGTTCATAATAGTAACGGCCTTGCCAAAAAATACCAAGCAGCGGGAAATCTTCGATGCGTACTGGGATCTGCCTGAAGGCGCTCTTGACATCCAGTTTTGACAGGTAAACTGGAGGGGGTAAAGACATAATCATATTGATGGCATCATCAATAGTAACATATTGCAGCGAGAATATATCAGTAGGTATGCCGTCATTGACACTCGTCCCGAGTGGGCTAGACAGGTGGTGGATCATGCGCATTTTGCCGTTTTTCTTTGGCACTGCACCGACGCCCGAGCAATGCATATGCGAGAAAGGGGGTGAAGTGAAGGGGCCAGCAGTTTCCCTTCGACTACAGGAGGCAGCTAACTGGTCTGATATAAACTGAACGTGTTTAGCGGCGGAAGGGAGATTAGGAGAATTAACGTTAACAGTACGATCACCTGAAAAGCCAATATCGAAGCCATGATGCAAGCCATGCAGAACATATCGTGAAAACTGTGGGTCTGGGTGGGTAGCTAGCAAGGAAGAAAAGCGGGTAACATGCAAAGGTGAGCGGAATGTGGAAGCGTGGAGAGTACTGGCTGAAGGCAAACTATCGGAGGTGCGGACCTTACTGAGAAGTGGTTCGGGATTTGGTCCCAGCCTTGGGGCACTGTTGGCGGGAATGGTTGCCGCCGCATGTGTTGCAGACATGGTGGAAGCGGCAGGACGACTTGTGCTGGCACTGGCCGGAGTTAAAGTTACGGCAGATGATTCGGCCGCTCTCAGAACGGGTGAGCGTGGACCCGTGCTGATACTGCTGGGGGCTTCTGTTCGGACGAAAAGGACACTGACTGGACGGAGGGTGCACAGTGTGGCATACTGGACATGCTGGTCTGGCCTTACCCGTGACGGATAGCTGCCACAGATTGTTGTCGATAATATCCAGGCGCTTGCCTGGCTGGAGCGAGGCTGACAGCCGAAGTTGCTGGTCATAGCTGAGCCAAGCAGCTGGCAGATACTGGCGGTTGGCTTTGAGGATGATGGACTGGTACGCCAACAACTCGTGGAGACGGTGTGGTGCGTGAGTACAGACAACCCCCGTGTACAAGGTCCATAGTCCATCGGCCAAATCTCAGAAAGGGCCTCTTTCGGCGAAGGTGATGCACTGAAGCTCCAACTAAACGCCCTTTGGCACACTAGCTCATGAGACCCCATAGAATACGAATCCGATTGTTGGACGTTGCCAATCCAGTCCAGGATAGTCGAACTGGGTCGAATACCTTCTTCCGATTTTCGTAATTTCGTCCACCATTACATCTTTCTCATCGACTTTTTTTCGCTTGGCGAATGTTCTTGAGCCGCTGAGCAGAATCTACGCACGCGCGAACACTTGAAATGCCTGCATGTTGACGGTTCGCAAGATTCTAGCGAGCTTGGTGGAAATCTATTATTTTATTTTGACATTTTTGGGGGAATCTGAATTAGAACGGTAGAAGCTCATTCGGAGAAGGCGGTGTGTCGCCGCTGTCGGATTGTCGCTCTGTGTTTCAGACGTATTTGCTTGAACGTGCTATTGAGGATGGACAGAAGATGAAGTGACGGCTTTCTTGAACACGGACGTTTTTGTCTACATTGTAGCTGAAACATCTCATCTGGCGTCTAGAATGCAATTATTATGAGTTGTGAGTGCCAGCTGAGCTGAACACAAGCTGGACACCATTCGTCAGCTGGGAATTTGCATCGAAGCTCTTGATAGCCACGATAAGCATAATACAGAGGTAACCTTGTTTGACTCAATACGCATGCAGGTGATACCACTAGTGGCACTACAATGTAAATGGTGCAAAATTGATGCAACAGCGAATATGTACTTCGTACAATCACGAACAATTGTAAGGCAAGTGTTCATGCATGTCATAGAAGAATTTCAGCCCGGAAGTCTTGTTGTCATGGTCATAAATAATACAGGACTTGAGTTGGCTCTGGACATAAACACACTTGTGGTGAATACGGTCATTATTGCGAGAAAAATATTTAGCCATTGTATGTTAACACCTGATACCGCACTACAAGTACAAGCAATATTTCATGTACATGTATGTGAGACTCAATTGCACTCACAAGGCCGTAGATGCATGTAAGCACACAATGCTGTACAGTATAAGTAGTAGTCGACATGTGGTGCCTTCCTGCTGCACATGCACATGCGGCAAGTTGGCAACGACACATGACCTATCTGCACCGCACAGCGTGAGCTTAGAAAGGAATATTGCACACATAGTGCTATTTGTGTTCCGATATCGTTAAGCCGGTATACATGTACTAGTATCCTTATACATGTACCTGGTCACTCCATAGGCGATGCCGACTGTACTAATCTTATCCACATTACCCGATAGGCTATAGCACACTGCGTCAGATCACTATGCAACAAAACAAGAGCTTTGGAGCGAATATACACTGAAGCAAAGTAGGTTTCACTGTGACGGTACAGCACTAGTCACGATGAGGGGAGTTACGAGGATGGTTAGGCCGTGACACATAGATGATGATTGTTAATGATTCATGCACGGTGGAAAATTACCATCAATGGCAATAATATTGCTTTCACAACAATGACATCAGTAGGAGCAGTGACACAACCTTACCGCTCCAAGTAGGATTTACAAGCGAGTGAAGGGAGAGCAGACTGGTCTAATAGCAGACCGGGTCTAAGCAAGGAAGTAATCGGCATCAGAGGTGAGCTTGCACATTAGAAAACAGATGATGATCACCAAACACAGAGAAGTTGGCTATGTGTATGTTTGTGTCACTGTGTGTGCATGTGTGTGTGTGTGTGTGTGTGTGTGTGTGTGTGTGTGTGTTTGTGTGTATGTGCGCACATCTGTGTGTGAGAGAGAGGCAGACAGACAGATAGCATATGGTGGGAGGGATCAAGGTCTGACCTCAGAGTTAAATGCTGACGGTGTGGAATAGCAACAGTGCGAAATCGGGCAGGGTGGTTAATGGCCCACACTGGAGCCGAGTAGGAGCGCCAGTGGTTGAGGGCTAGCACAGGAGTAGCAGCAGCTCCAGCCTAGGAAGATCAGCTTCTGGATGAAAATCTCCCGGACACAGTAGGTACCAAGCTTCACTAGCAGATTGCTGGCAGGGGTGCATGGCGAGCACCCGTACATCCCTCAAGCCAGCAGAGCCGCAGTACTTGGACATGATCCAGGTGCTTACCCGCCAACAATGCTGAGAAGGCACTGGAGCCATACAGGAACTTATGATCGAGCATGACCACCGACTTGAAATACAGGGTCCGGCGTTGAATACTGAGACAGCGACGTCTCCTCCACAGAACACCACTCAGCCCCACCATTGCATTATTTTCGCTTTTTCATGATTTTTACAATTGTGTTAGAGCACACAGCACTCGATGCAACATTTACCAGTGACTAAATAGCGCCGCGTCTCCGACCATAACTGCAGCGTTCCCGTGAGCCTGTTGGATTTCCGTCAGCCTGTTGAGATTATCTTCATCTCGTCACATGTGAGCCTGTGTGTTTCATCCGTATCGTGGCACAATTACACAGACACGATTTCCAACTCAGGCCGGTTCCGTTGCTCGAAGGGTTGGCGGTAAGAATTGCTACGCCGTCTGTGGCTGCATGGGAACTTGGCGAGTCGTCGTCTTTCTCCATAAATCCTGATCGTCACGCGAACAACAGCCACTATTGCCTAAAAACTACGACACAACAGTATCAAGCTCGCCCCAGCAGAAGGACACGAATGACGAGCGCTAAGACGGAGACGGAGAGACATGGTTAGCGAGAGCTGACTAGTGCAGGTACGCTGTCATCTCCTGAGGTGGTGGGCGAAGCAGTGAAGTGAAACGAAGGAAGATAGAACTTATTAGAAGGCATACGGAGGCACCAAAACCTATTGCCTGTCACATACTAAGTGCCATTTAGGGTTGACAGCTGTCAGCTGACAGCCTCAAAAATTTGAAAATCTGCTCAAAAAACTCTCGATCAGAACTCTGCGCACTCTCAAATGGAGCGCACAGTAAAAAACTCGGCGACGAAGAACGCTTCGTATCGACGCCCTGGACTGAATTCGGCACGTCCAACAAACGGAATAGTGTTCTCTGATATATTCTCTACGTGCTGGGTATGGTCGCGTTTAGTTGGAAGCTCAGTGCATCACCACTTTCGATTTTGAGACTTGGCCGATGGACTACCATGCCTCTAGCCATGTTGCGATGTCGTGTACTCGCCGTTTGACTTGGCGACCGTCGCTGGTTTCAACCAGTTCCAGCGACTGCTTACTTCCCCCAGACTGATTGGGGGTACGAAGCTTGAACGAGCGGGATTCAGGTTGAGAGACAAAATTGCTTAGCCCCTCTGGCAACAGTAAGTTCAGCTCAATGAACTCACCTTTCACGATGCGATCTTGCAGTGACTTGGGCACGAGGAGGTGAGCTGCTGCCGAGGTTTCGGTACTGCTAGCCGCCGGCGCAGATGCAATGGAGCTCAACCCGGGGATAGAAGGTGCAGGATTGGACAGGGTGACAGTTGCCGTGGTTTGAGAGGCCGCCTCTGGTGCTCCCGACAACGCTGTGCCGATTGCAGCTGATACTTCTTCGCGCACCATACGCCGCAGTTCCTGCTGAAAGTTGTCACGACCCGAATTATCCGCGTCCTCCGTGACAGCAACAGAAGCCGCAGTAGCAGGAACGAAGTCCTCACGTTCGTCTACGGCTCCCTCGAGTCGGTTTATCAGGACCGATTTGGTGCCAGATGGGTCTAGGCCGCGCTTTTCGAGCTGTTCACGCAGCTCGGCGACACGCAATCTCTGCAACAACTGATTTGAACTCATCGTATGCGATGTTCAAGAAGAAACAGCTACGAGGCTACGGACAAAACTGCAAAAGCTAGGCAGCGAGGAAAAGCTAGGAGCTGAAGAAAAAGCAAGGAGCAAAACTGTGAAAGCCAGGCAACAGCAGCGGACTCTACTTTCACAAAGGCAACACTCAAAGCAAGGCACGTGGGAAAGGTTTGGAGTGGAAGAAATACGAGGTGTGAGCTGCAACCTCTCTGGGCGCAGTTTCGGAGCTGCGCTGTAGATTACTGATTAGCTACGTGAATCTGCGTGATTGATTAATGTAATCAAGCTGCCAGCTGGCAGGTGTTCATGCGGCGCTAAGACGCTCTAGCCACTGGCTAGTGCGCCATAACACCTGACTTTTTAACATTAATCATCATGTGGAGCTTTTGTAACTCGTCACAAAGTGCATTATTGTTATTATTATTCCCGTAGCTATGCAGAAGACGTTACTTCAGTAACGTCTGGCGCTAGCCAGGGTCCACACGGCTTTAATTCCCGTAGCTATGCAGAAGACGTTACTTCAGTAACGTCTGGCGCTAGCCAGGGTCGACACAGCTTTAATTTGGTATTTGTGTGTGTGTTTGTTTGTTTGTTTGTTTGTTTGTGTCACGCCTGGCGCTATCCGTATCTGACGGCAAAAAAGCATAGGATGTTATCAATTTTTCAATTCTCCTTTTTTTAAGGCATATCCTGGGATTCGAACCCACACTATCGCCCTACATGCATTCCCCCATACACTTCGCATTCATACCCATTCTTCTAAGTTGCTTCACGTTATTATCTTGCGTTTGAAAGCCCTATTTGAATATTGCGGGCAGCTGTACATGTATGTGGCCAGCTGTGTTTGATGGTACGGTACGGGAGACGTTGTCGTATTACCCTCGATCGTACCTGTCCCGTACCTATCCCCTACCGTACCGTGGCATCAAAGACGGCTGGCCACAATGCATATTCAAAATAATAGGTCTCTCAAATGCAAGATCACAATGTGAAACAACTTGGAAGAATTAGTATGTATGCGAAGTGTATCGGGGGATGCATGCAGGGCGCGCGATAGTGCGGGTTCGAATCCCAGGTTATGTCTTTAAAAAAAGGAATTTTTTAAAGAATTTATAACATCCCTATGCATTTTTTGTCTAGGTCATCAAGGCAAAAAAGCATAGCGTAGGGCCCTGAGCTTCCAAGCTCTCTCGTTTGGTATTTGTTTGTGTGTTTGTTTGTTTGTTTGTGTCACGCCTGGCGCTATCCCATATCTGACGGCAAAAATTCATAGGGATGGTATACATTTTTCAATTCTCCTATTTTTTCAGGCATATCCTGGGATTCGAACCCGCACTATCGCCCTACATGCATTCCCCCATACACTTCGCATTCATACCCATTCTTCCAAGTTGCTTCACGTTATGATCTTGCATTTGAAAGCCCTATTTGAATATTGCGGGCAGCTGTATGTGGCCAGCTGTGTTTGATGGTACGGTACGGGAGACGGTGTCGTATTACCCTCGATCGTACCTGTCCCGTACCTATCCCTACCGTACTGTACCATCACAGATCACGTACAGACGGCTGGCCACAATGCTTTTCAAATAGGGCTTTCAAATGGAAGATCATAACGTGAAGCAACTTGGAAGAATGGGTATGAATGCGAAGTGTATGGGGGAATGCATGTAGTGCGGGTTCGAATCCCAGGTTATGTCTTAAAAAAAAAGGAATTTTTTAAAGAATTTATAACATCCCTATGCTTTTTTTTGTCTAGGTCATCAAGGCAAAAAAGCATAGCGTAGGGCCCTGAGCTTCCAAGCTCTCTCGTTATTATTATTATTATTATTATTACGAAGTCTGAAGAAAACGTTGAACAGTCTCTGCTTTGATGACGACTACACCATAGCTCAGCGGTTAGAGCATCGCTGGCTACAAGCGAGGGTCCCTGGTTCGAGTCCTGGTGGTGACAGTCAATTTTTTCTTCAGACTTTTCCCGTTTGTCTCTTTCCCTCAAAACCAGTCAATATTATTATTATTATTATTTTTTTTTTTTTTTTTTTTTTTAAAAAGGTCGGAGGCGGATAATACTTTAAAACGAAGGTAAGTTATGGGTCGCAAATATCCACGCAAACACACATCCAGTCATAATAAGGCACTTGTCATAAGTATCCGTACTTATGACAAGTGCCTTATTATGACTGGATGTGTGTTTGCGTGGATATTTGCGACCCATAACTTACCTTCGTTTTAAAATTATTATTATTATTATTAAGTAGTGGTTGCGACTTCGGCGATGATTTGTAAGAAAGCCACTACTTCGTACTGTTGTGCCCAGCGCGGGCTTGCGACTAGTTGGTTTGGAGGTGACAGCGTTGCGAATGACCGAGGGTCCTCGACGTCTGTCTCACCGTCCAGGAGCGACACTGACTCACGCTGCTATCTGGTGTTCACGAGGTGTTTATCGCGCTGGAAGCGGAGCGTCTCTGTAAGTTTGTATCCCTGGTGATGTTTGTGCCTGGAGAGCACTATATAAGTGGTGCTCTTCAGGCACAATCTTCCTCAGCCTACTCAAGCTCAACTGATGAGGGGTGAATTCCCCGAAACACTGTGTATTGAGCAGGGAGTGGTGCTTTCTTGCAGGTTTGCCGAGTCGAAGGTTCGATGGATTTCTCGTGTGCTCTGGATGGCAGTCGTGAGTCAGTCAAGTGTCAAGTAAAGTCGGCGGAATAGCGCGAGCTCCGGTGTGGGGAGCAAACCTTTCTTATTATTATTATTATTATTATTATTATATATTTGAGGATTTCCCAAAGACGTAGTCTAAATTGAAGGGAGTTCCATTATAATGGGAGGCTGTAGGGTTGAGATAGCAGACAGTGGAGGGCTAATGATTCGTAATGAACAGCCGAGCAAGAGAAATACAATTATGCTGAATGTTCCAGAATGGCCCTTTACTCAATAATACCTATAGCCTCGGGGTATGCCTTGGAATACGAAATATACCGAAACAGAAACACAAAAATTAATAAGAATAAGCGCAACGCTCAAAGAAGGAGGACAGAGGCATGTCAGTGATGAGTGGCATTGTGTTTGGTGTCAGAGAAGTGCGTGCAAATGTGACTGTGAAACAGGGACTGCGAGGCTGTGGCTCTCAGGTCTGCGGGCAAGGCATTCAGGCAGGGAATGACGGATGTATAGGGAGATTTTCTGGAAAGGAATAGGGAGACGAGGAGGAAATGCAATTAGAATGGACGCTAGTTGCCGAATAGATTACAGGATGCGTCAGCAAAAACATGCTTTGGAAGAGAGATCCCGTCGTCTCCAAAATAAGCGTGAACGGTCAAATCAGCGCCGGTCACAGGAAACGTCGGAAGAGAGATCCCGTCGACTCCAGAACGCCCGTGATCCGCAGAGTCAGCGCCGGTCCCGTAGCTATGCAGAAGACGTTACTTCAGTGACTCATTGAAACGTTTTTGCAATACAACGATGTAGGTAATGAAAGGAAAAAAAACATTTCCATCAGTTCTAACAACATGCGCGATGAGCTAGGCAAAAATGCATAGCGTAGGGCCCTGAGCTTCCAAGCTCTCTCGTTCAGCTTGACCCCTTCATTCAACGACTGCTTCTCCTCTGATGAGTTCCCCGTCAACTGACTTTATGGAACGAAACAAGACTTTGCAGGAGTAATACTACACTACAGTGCTGGCCACTGAAATCCGACCCCGGCCCCCTGGGCGGCGCGGCCGCCCAGGGGGCCGGATTTCAGTTGCCAGTACTGTACTTGCTTTCGTGTAGTGCGGCTGGTGAACTGGTCGTGCTGTGGTCTGCAAGCGTGGTGTGGTCTCTTCCGGTCAAATGAAAAACCTATTACAGTACTACTATTTGACGGACCTATTGAAGATGGCCACAAAGACCTATAGTATAGATGTTGCAGATGTGTGTTGCTTTTCTCCTTCCGAAAGCTCTGTCGCAATATTAAATTTTAGTTCAATACTAGTAACATACTAGTATTAGATAAGCCCTGGCAAAGTAACATGTATGTGTATGTCCAACCTTCGCCTCTGTTGTAAGTGCTTGATATTTGATACAAACACAATTATGCACTCACCCACGGGGCCAGGCACATGCAGTCGCACTATGTCTTAGCCTCACTGCAATCAATACTACGAATAAGTGACAGCGACTTCGGCGTTGATTTGTTAGGAAAGGCTTTGCTCCCCAAACTGGAGCTCTCACTTTCCCGCCGACTGTACTTGAGACTTGACTGACTCACGGATGCCATCCAGAGCACACGAAAAGTCCATGGCCGTCAAACGTTTCGACTCGGCAAACCTGCAAGAAAGCACCACTCCGTGCTCAACACACAGTGTTTCGCGGAAACACTCCTCATCATTTGAGCTGGAGTAGGCTGAGGAAGAGTGTGCCAGAATTCATGAAGAGCTCCACTTACACCACATGTACATAGTGATCTCCAGGCACAAACATCGCCAGGAATACAAGTGCCAACTAATTAATTACCGTATTATCTCTTATATAAGCACGGTCCTTTGTGTTTTCAATGTACCTCCGCCCCGTGCTATTAATGGAGACGTTCCTTTATTGGAGACTGCTCCATTATTATTTCAACCTCATTTCAGAGGCATGTTGCCATGCCAAATTAATGTCAGACGCACACATTTCAAGGTTTTTTTCGCCCGTACAGATAATGAATTAATAGTGTGCTTATAATGGAGACTGAGCACGTTATTTTTGGAAAGCCGCCCCAAGGTGTTCTATTATTGGAGACGTGCTATTATTGGAGACTGTGCTTATATTAGCGCAACAAACACCTCGTGGCCACCAGATAGCAGCGTGAGTCGGCGTCGCTCCTAGACGGTGAGAACAGACGTCGAGGACCTTCGGTCATTCTACGCTGTCACCTCCAAACCAGCTAGTCGCAAGCGCGCGCTGCGCACAACAGTATGAATAAGTGGTAGCGACTTTGGTGTTAATTGGTAGACGACAGGGTTTGCTTCCCACACTGGTGCTAACGCTTTCCCGCCGAATTGACACGTGAAACTTGACTGACTCACGACTGCCATCCAGATCACACGAGACGTCCATCTAACCTTCAACTCCGCAAACCAGTTACCTGCAAGCACCACAATACTACCCTGATTATTTTACTTTCTTCAAGCCTGTTGCCGTGTTGGCGGGCTTGACGTGTCTTTCCGCTTTGTCGAGCTCGTTATCTCGTTCCCCGGCCTCGGTCTGCTTTCGGCATAGTAGTGGTCCATCATTTTGTTCAATATAAAATTATTATTATAGTTGTTCCGTTGACTGAACTTCGCTCATTACTGCTGAGAATTTATTCTGAAGAGATAGGAACACGTATCTTCCACAGAGCCATACGGTAAGCTCAAAACCTGACTCCAAGTCTTCCGTCTTAGTATTGCCATCTAACAGAGGGAAAACAACATGTACCTCCTTTCCATGTCCTATCCTTTGGCAGGAGTCTGGCGAGGAGAAAGTTAGCTCCATGCTATTTCGTGTACCCTGTGTACATCTTCTCGCCACATAAACAATTGGTAAGATCCAGTTTTGTATGTGTGACGATATCAAGGCACAGAGTAAAGGGGTTCTTTCACGTGACTATCAAATCCATCACATGCTTGACCGCCTGACTTCAGTCGGAAATAAACATGTAAACCTAGCCCTTGGCGGATAGTGACGGTAGATAGATTGGGTGAATTTGGTACCTTTTCTGCCTTGTTTCATGCATGTTTTGGTATGTGGATAAAGAAGTGGAACAGAGTTTCAAGGAAGTTTGTTACCACTAGACCAACACGCAATGCCTTATCACTGCCCCGAGCTAGTTCCTCTCTGTTTTTGAAATCCCCTTTCTTCTCAGCATACTCCCTTTGGTCTAACCTGCCTACTAGCATTAAGACATGCCAGGATATCAGGAAATTCACAGTCCAGCTTTCCACACTGTCTCATCCGAAGTGATCCCATGTATTATTAATGTGCCTCCCTTTCTTTTTCTCTCCCTATCTCCTTTCCCTCTCTGACAGCATCTTTCTTTTTTTTCCCTTTTAGCTTGCCGTGGTTGGCTATCACCTGACCTCTCATGTTTATTGGCAGTCTTCGGACGGGCCAGGAGATGTTGAATAAATAAATAAATAAATAAATAAATAAGCGCCTGCCATAAGTTTTGTTTTGTTCTGCCTGAATCAAATAGCATGTCATGATTGGAAGCTGTGGCCTTAGTAAAAAAAAAACAAAAAAAACTTGTAATTATACATTTGTGTGTGCTGGGATGTAGGAGGGGGGGGGGTAAAGTAAAACTTGGTTGATATGAAAGTAAAAGGACCAATGAAGAAAGCACCAAGGTACTACTATTACTAGTTACGCTATACTGAACTATGTAACTGGTCGCGTTATTTATTAAAAAAAAATTTTTTTTAATTTCCGCCTGTCGGCTACTATCATTAATTTTTCGTCTTGGGAGCTAGACAGGGGAGGCGGAAGTAGCCATGTAGCCGTAGCGCGAGCCAGCCGTTCAGCACCGGGAGTTGCAGCTCGCTCGACTTGACTACTGTCGTACTGAGTACGGAGTAGCCATTGGCCGACTATGCTCGGCCAATCGTCAAATTATGCTTTTGATTATGCCACAATTATGCCGACAAATACGCTGAATTATGCTGATTTATGCTCGGTTCCACTATGTATTCACGCTGTACATAGAGGATTGAGAAGCCACGCATACACACTCGGCCATGCCCTAAGCATAATTTTTGTCGAAACCGAAAGATTATGCCGACCTTACACGTTGGAATCCGTATATTATGCTGGAGCATAATTTTTTTGACGAAATCCCAAGATTATGCCAAACATTATGCCGGCATAATGCGCCAAGGGCTTTGACAAGGAGTCGTAACTGGGGTATTTAAAAAAAAACATCTGCAAGGTCCTGACAAAGCTGTATTATGCCCCTAAGCATAATTTTGTCTAAACCGAAAGATTATGCCGACCTTACACGTTGAAACCGTATAATTATTATGCTGGAGCATAATTTTTTGACGAAATCCGAAGATTATGCCAGATATTATGCCGGCATAATCCGCCAAGGGCTAGTGCGCGGAGGAGCCACAGTCGTGTTATAAGTATAACTATCACTATGGTATGCAGACTACAGTCAGCTGTGACTACGGCCGTTTCTACGACTCAGACGTGGTTGAGCAGGGATTGTACCTTTGTGAGTTGAAACACGAGTGCATCACCATTGAAAATCACGTTCAGACCTGACTTTGCCAGTAGTCTGAGTAGCCCATTACTTTGGTATTAGGGGACACTCACTGAATCCGCTCATGCGATAAAATAATTGCACGCGCGCGTCCTTGACACTGACCACCGGTGCCGACGCCCTACATAGGATACAACTAACTGGCAATCAGTGTGGTGTCATGGCGATAGTTTGATACTGCATGCACTGTACTCTGTAGGCTAGCTCCGACCGCTGCTGCAGTGCTGGTTCAGTACTAGTAGTACTAGTACTGCTGCCTTGTGCGCGGTGCTAATGTATTGTAGAGCTCCTCCGGCCGTCTGGTGGATCTACTAGTAGATCTACTAGTACTACTACATCATGTACTACTACTAGATTTAGTGGTGGACACCACACAGATCACACCTCTTGGCGGCATTGGAGTTCAGTCGCACCCTGCACTACAGCGCACTCAGTCAGTCCAGGAAGGTTTGCTAGAAAATTCTTCAGTACCGTTCTGCTGGAAACTGAGCTAAGTCTTAGTTGTACACCACTGCTCTTTCCTTGCATGGTCCTGGTGCTTCGTTATAGATTCGAACTAGCAGTGTTCTTTGGAATGCGTGCGTCCAACTAAATCCCTTTTTCCTGCGTTACAGTGAGTATGAGTATGAGTATGAGTATTTCGCCAACTGAGCTCCTCTATGCACCGCTCAAGGACTGAGTACATCCGCAGTGTCTACAGCGCAACGCAAAATCGACGTAGAACAAAGAATTATCAGTAGTGTTTCTTGTAGGTAAAGATTCATGACCAGCCCCTCAACGGGAACAACCTCAATGACGAAGGCGGAACAGGCGTCGCGTCCGCAGCAGTGCGACATTCGACAGCCAGCGCTCACTAGTCAAGTGAGTACAGTCATGTACATGTACCGGTAGTGGACTATGGAGTATGGTGCTGGTCTGTCGGTCACGGAAGAACGGGGCTGGGGTGGGTGGCCTAGACCGGTCGTATTTTTTGTACTACAATGATAGGGATCTCAGCGCGTGAACTGCGCAGCCAGTCTGCGCAGGTGAGATTTTCGATCCCAAACGCGTCCAGTGCAGAAATCGTGGAAAAGAACATTTTTTCGAAATAAATCAAGTTGAAGAAGACAGTAGAAATGGCTGAATATTGCGTCCAGGAAAGCACGTTCTACGGCCATCTCCAAGCTACCTATGTCCCAGACACTCTCTCAGAGGAACTATGGAGGGTCAAAGAGCACAATCTTTCACTCTTGGACGCAGCGTGAACACCTCTTCTACTGAGCGCGATGTCTTCTCTCCGAGTGATAATGGCGCGGCGATGTTCGCGATGGCTGATGCACTGAAAATCGAAGTTAGGACAATCTAACCGGAGAAAACGTCTGAATTTTTGACTGAATCCTCTCTGAAGTGGGTTCTTGCCGCATGGAAAATTATAGGAAAATCGACCGGGGCAATATCGCCTTGACCACGCTGTCCTTCGGCGGGAATTACAAAGTATGTTCGAACGACGATGAAGAGGACGATTCCGCTAGTGTCCACCGCGTCCCCTACTCACCCTAGTGTCGAAAATCGACCGTCGCCATTTTTCTGCTGTGTCCGCGAGCTGCACTCAAAACTCGATGACGCAATGTATGCGCAAACACCCTGTGCACTGCACGCGCTGAGATCCCTAACAATGATCTACACTGCGCTTCGTCAAGAGTATTCGTTGTACATGACTTGTATAATTGGTGAAATTCTAGTCTGTTCGTTCTTCGGCACTCCGTTCTATGGCTCTCCGTTCTTCGGCGCTGGCACTGCGACTGAGTCTGTAGTGTATTCTACCACACCGCAAAGCCGGTCAACTCCTGCCGTCTGAGTCGAGTAATGTGTTCATCCATGAACCCGCTGTGGTCAGTCTGTGAGCTAATGTACCTGGCCGCACTTGTGCCGCAAGTATGTATCTTGTTTAGACGACCTAGACGACCGGCGCGCGCCCTTCGTCATCGACTTGTCGTTAGTCCAGGTACATCCAGCAAAATAGCCAGTCGACTGTTCACGGTCGGCAGGACTCACTCCGGCGGTGGTGACGTTTCCCATGTCAAAATTACATGACAGACTCAGCGCTTGTGTGCGACATGTTGCACTAGCCGACTTGGCACTGTTCAACTGCGCAACACAGTGTTGGCTGGTCTAGGCAGGGACAAAGCCAAGCGCGGTATTCACTCGCCGGACCGGATTTCATTGAGCAGCACTATGCAATCAAATGCCACTTTGATGGCTCTTGAACTCTCAGCCAGGCTTGCAGTGAGTCCAGAGAGAAATGCACATACTGTAGTGTCTTGTATAAAAGCCTGTCTGGTATTGAAGGCCTTTTAGATACAAGCCGTATTTTAAAGATACACTGTCAGCACATTAGCCTAATTTTAGCATTGACATACACAGAGATAGGTGGTTTGAATACAAGTCTGACTTGAATAGAAGCCTAGCACTGATGTTGGCTGCTACAGGAATAACCACAATCAAATTGTTGGCCTGTACTGCTGGAGCCTGTACTGCTGCCGCCTGTACTGCTGCCGCCTGTACTGCTGCCGCCTGTACTGCTGCCGCCTGTACTGCTGCCGCCTGTACTGCTGCCGCCTGTACTGCTGCCGTCTGTACTGCTGCCGCCTGTACTGCTGCCGCCTGTATACACCGTCATGCTGAACCTCGCAACACAAAATTTCGGCCGCCAAAAAATTTCAGTACTGTAAAACCGGAAAGTCTAACGAGTCACAAAGTCTAACGTTTTAACGACCAATTATTTTTCGTTATTTGAAAAATACGTTATCGCTAGATGTCTGTGTAAAGCTGCGCATACAGATGGGTGGCCAGGTAGCCATCGTTAAACTTTCTGCACGTTATCATGCAAAAATTACAAAAACGCTAAACATTTTTGTCGTTAGACTTTCCGGTTTTACAGTAGCGGTCAGACATGGGAACTGTGGATAGGGGGGTGGGGTGGTGGGATGTGTTGAGTGTCTCGTGGTGTTTGCTACAACAAGGGTGGCATGTTTGTATTCTCGTTTTCTGCTCATTTTTGTCATTTCAGGTTTCGCAGGTCCATACGTTCAGCTTAGTGCTGGTGGTCGTATTGGCTTGGTCCGCTATTGCGCCCTTACCCGCCACAGGTATGTAGTTTTATTAGATAAAACTTGTTTTAGTTTACACATGTTGTTGGTTTGACAGCATGTAACAAGGTGGAGGACACCGTGCTCGGAAACAGCGACCTTTCTACAACCATCCACCGTTCAGATGGTCTCAACAGACCTGGAGCTCTACCAACCGTGGATGGTTGTTGAAAGGTCACCGTTTCTGAACACGGTGTCCGCCATCTTGTTACGGTCATGCTGTCAAACCGACAAACAGGTACGTGCTTACGTTTACACGGACGGTCCGGGATCGGGCAATGCTCGCAGCTTTGAGATGTACAGTAAAACCTGTCAAGGCGACCACTCGGATAAGGCGATCACCTGTCCCAGAAGGCCCCGGGAACCACGACCAAATGATGCTCTTTCAAGTCAAATGACCCTGGATAAGGAGACCACCTGGTAACAGAGACCATATTCTGAAGATCTCTTGAGCGGTCGTCTTAGACAGGTTTCACTGTACGTAATTCCGAATCACAACTATTTTGACCGGGAAAGGCTAGGCTTCCGCGGGAATTATCAGAACTAAAACCGCAATAAGTAAGATGAGCTGAAGGGTGGTTACGTGTGTCTTTCTGTCTATGCTTGTCTGTGTGTGTATGCACAGGTGCGTAAGAGTGTGTGTGTGTGTGTGCGTGTATGTGTGTGTGTGTGCATGTGTGCGTGCGTGTGCGTGCGTGTGCGTGCGTGTGTGTGTGGGAGGGGGGTGTCAGTGTATCATTGTGTCTGTATGTGCATATATGCATGTGTGTGCGTGTGTGTGTGTGTGTGTGTGTGTGTGTGTGTGTGTGTGTGTGTGTGTGTGTGTGTGTGCATGTGTGCGTGCGTGTGCGCGCGCGCGTGTGCGTGCGTGCGTGCGTGCGTGCGTGCGTGGGTGTGTGTGTGTGTGTGTGTGTGTGTGTGTGTGTGTGTGTGTGTGTGTGCATGTGTGGGTGCCTACACGCTGTCTACTTTTCTCAGCTGAGTTGACAGTGACGTGTATCAGAAACGCACCAAGGAACTGTAGCTACATAGGAGGAGAAGCCAAATACGTCTGCCTAGTCCGGGGAGCACCCAACTGGGTCGCAGACATACATGTCAGCCCCGGACGCCTGTCCTCGTATTCCATACTCAACGTTCCCGGCGGACAAAACGTGCCGTTCGTTTTCGAAAACGTCAGCCTCTCAGATAACCACCTGACACACTGTGTAACGGCCAGTACTCCCCAGTCTTCCAGGCAGGCCTGCTTCCAAGTGACAGCATGCATACCGAGTGAGTACCTTTTTTTCTTTCTTGCAATGTTCTATGTAGATACGTAGGTAAGCATCGATGTTAGGTCTGATTCGGTTTTCGACGATGTGTGGAAGAAATTGTATTTGTAAGTACTTCCTCCGTATACAAAAAATTCGTGACTTTTTTCAACGGTGTTTTTGAGCAAGAACCTGCTAAACGAACCACGCCAAAGGCTGTCATCGACAACCCACATTCATGTTGAGGTAGGTTTGGTTGATCTCGAACAGATTCTCCACGGAAGCCATGCGTGTGAGGAGGTTGCCGACAGGGACTCACGAGTCAAATGACAAAAAAACTAACACTTACTTGCTCAAAACTGACACCGTGACGAAGTGGAGCTCGCGCCTGGAACACGTAGTCACGACTCACCCTGAAACTGGCCAGGCTCGTACTTGCGGTGCGCGGCCCCCATACGCAGCGTGAGAACATAAATCGGTTCCGCTCGCACGGAAAGATGAAACATTTTCAGTTGTCGTGCAACCAGCGCAGACTCCGGATCGGAATGTCGACGACCTGGCTTTCTTCGCCTCTCTCCACTCCTGTCAGACGTCTCCGTTGTGGCCTAGGGGAATCGTAGGGACCTCGTCGAAGCCGTTGTAGAATGCTGGGAGGATTCTCCTGCGTAGAAAAGGCGAAGCGTGTGGATGTGCTTGAGTGACTCGTTTCACGGCATAATGGAGGTCGCGGATTGGAACGACTGAATAATCGACAGTCGACACCGATTCGTACACAGCTCTGGAAATGAAGAGTACGCTAGCCAAAGTCCCGCGTCGGATCATCATTGCAGCTGAAAAGAATCTGAACGAAATGTGAGCGAAAGCAGCGACTGTTGGTGATGCGGAGTCAGCGAAGAGTACGCTAGCCAAAGTCCCGCGTCGGATCATCATTGCAGCTGAAAAGAATCTGAACGAAATTCGAGCGTAAGCAGCGACTGTTGTCGATGCGGAGTCAACGTCGTCAGGTGACAATGACAGGAACGACGAAAACTCTGAATAAACTCAATCTCATTCGTCTGAGTTGCTTTTTTCTTTGTATATAACTTGTAAACAGGTTAGACAATGCCACAAGTGTTATTCCAAGTCAAACGGAACAATTCCAGAGCAGTGCGCAGCCTTAAAAAAATGTCACGAAGTTTTTGTATACGGAGGAAGTACAGTCAAATTCGCTAATAACGACTGTGGATATAACGGACATTCGCGAATAACCACAGAACTTCCATGCCCAGAGCAAAGTCCCATTTAACTGCAATACATACAATGAGACTTCGTGTATAAGGACACTTTTCCTATGCCGCGCCGAGTATCGTTATACGTAAAGTTCACTGTATCTACAACTTGGCAGTCATGTTGCTGATGTAACGAGGTCAGCCAGAGAGCGCATGACCCCGTCACCACGTCCACGATTCATGCCTGCTATGCTGCACCGCTGCTTTGCATGTCATGATTGGAAGCTGTGGCCTTAGTAAAAAAAAAAAAATGTGGTTAAGATGCAATTGCTTTATTCAGGTTCTATGTGTAAAGTATCTGTCCAAAACTACGCACGCGGAAATGATACAACCAAGTCCTTTTCTGCGGCTACTCGGAGTTTTGTGTTAAAACACAAATCAGACAGCATTGGACAAAGACGACCTTAGACAACTACGGATCCCCCCCCCCCCCCCCCATTCCCCCCCCCCCCCCCCCGATTTCCCCCCCATTTCTCGATGCCAGGTTGCAACGCCCATGCCGAGACCTCTGGTCGATCCAGTTCCTCCCTGTACATCGGCACGTCGTCCCTACATCCCCTGTGTCTTGTCTTGTTTTGTGTCTTGTTTTGTGTCTTGTTTCTTGTTTGTCTTCATGTGTGTCAGTGGGTCACTGCTCTTAGTAATAAATAATATAGAGGAGGAAAAAAGCTACATCTGACTCCTGACCATGGTGTGGTGGCGTCCTACGGAATCGGAAGGTGATTCTTGACCCGTCGTGTACACGGATTCGTAACATTTAATTGTGTGTGTTTTAGGTGTGTACTAGTAATATTATGGATGAATACAGCAGCATTGAGCAGGGCCTAAGAGCTTATAGTGATGGACATGCGACAATGTTTGTGTGTGAATGTGTATTTTGGCTAATGTTACGTGTATGTGTGTGTGTGTGTGTACATGTGCACGCATGTGTGCATCTGTATGTGTGTACAAGTGTGCATCTGTGTCGTGCGTGTTTGTGTGGCGTGCGCGGCGGGCGTTATATTTCTACTATTAAATTTCCACTCCATAAGATATCCTGAACTGCCGGATGATAAACTCTACCGATTCGGAGAACTGTACGGATATTGGCATGGATGTCAAGTACCACTGCACCGCTCGAGGTCCAGACCTGTCCCTGGCCTTGCTCAGTCCCATCTGCGGGGGCAGTCTCAGTGTTCAGGAGGCGACCGGCGGTCAGGATCTTTTCTTCACGTTCCGCAAACTGAGCTGGGCGGATAACGGGAGAACGCACTGCATTTTCGCCCGCACCGCACACGAACAGCAGCAGCATTGCCTCAAACTGTCCGTCTGCCGTCCAAGTAAGCACTCTTAAGGGCTGCAACGGTTAGGGATTTGGTCGGGTAACGAGTTTGGTTACTTCTATGCGGATAGCATGGGTACCTTGTAAGGTATTTTTTGAAAGTTTGTACAGTGAGTGTGCACTTGGGCTACAGAGAAGGTGTACGGTGCGCACGTAGCCGTGCTTTTTACATACGGATACACCGTACTCCAACCACCCAATCGGGTTATCAGAAGCAAGCTGCTACCCAAATGCGAGCTCTCGTTATGCTATGCACTTCTACCCTACTTACTGCTGACATTCGTACAGGCTACATAATTAATTGCTAGTCCGCTTTGATCTCAGGGTTCCCTGTGAAAATGCGTCGACGTCTGACTCCGTTGGGACTTCCCTAGTAGAGCGAGAATAACATAAAATTTATTACAGTCAGACCTCGTTAGTACGAACACTGATAAGGCGAACTTTCCATTAGTACGAACTAACTTAAGACCACATTGGGTGCTTTCGATTACATGCATTTCGGTCAATTCTAGAATTAGTTATTGTTGATGCACAGTTCGATTACACAAAAAGTGACAAATTCCGTCGTTAGAATTGATTTTATCCAATTCCGTCGAATCCGTCAATTCTGAAGAGAGGGCGGAATTTCTCTAATTCTGGCGCCAGAATTGCACAGTTGGTGTGTTGCCGGTCCAGTCATGACTCAAGCACGCGAAGAGCCTCCCTGGCGGGCGTGTGCGCGATGCTGGATCCACGTGTGCGCGAGGGTGTACGTGATCTCTTTTTACGATTCATCAATTATTATTTTGTTTGTGACATGACACGAATAAAATGCGTTGTGAATTCCAGTCGTTCGTTTACAAGGCCGGAATCCGCTCATTCTGGTCATTCCAGAATTTAAAAAAAACCAGTTCCAGAATTGTGTAAACGTGTCATCGAAAGCGCCCATGGATATGCAGGCGGTTAACATACGTACAATATGGACCGATACAGGTCTACCCCCGTTAATACAACATCGGTTACACTGCAAACCTCGGTACTAGACTTGGATGCTGAGCCAATATAATTATGATGAAGAAAGGAAAAGGCTGACTGTATGAGATCTGGTCACGTTGGTGGACAGTTTGTCATAACTGGTAACATTTTGTCCTTCTCCTTTCTTCATCAGTACTAGACACTCTGGCAGGCACAGTGGGTTGGTCAAAGACCGTGATTGAGATACGAGAGGTACCTGGTCCAAGTCCTGCCTGGGAGCGGTTTTTCCAGCCGTGCTACTACCCACAGTCAACTGGGAAGTTGTGGCCAGGCACAAGGGGTACATGGATGCAGCTAATGGGG